CATCCAAAACGTTATGGAACACATTAACTGAAAAATGTTGCATAGTATGCCTTTAATAAAAGATATTGAGATGTTTTTGTTCTAATGCTGCACCTATCTATTATTTTAGGAAGAGATACATTTATGGATCATTTCTTTTCAAATAATGTAAAGAGGTTTTTAATAAGTAAATATTTCAAAATGAACATTTTGAGTATAGAGAAAAGCCATTATTGTGCATTTTAAATAGTTTGTAAAAGTACTTTCGATTTATAAGAAAATGGGAAATTTTTAGATTTAGTTTTAGATTATTTGGCTAAAACTATTTGATTAGATTCCAAAATCAGTTGAATAATTTACAAACAGTCGTATTAATGTTTTTATGAGCTAGGTAGAAATCTAGAAGACTGCTTTCAGCCATCTAACCAGCAGTGTGCAGCAGCATGAAATAAGCAATGCGGCATTATTTTCTGCCTCATAAATCAACGGAAAACCAAAACTTTATCAGTTCCTCTCCAATAACTGTTGAAACAAAGTGATGAAAAGTCTTTTCTATTGGTGGAATACCATTAATTAATCTGTATTTTTTTTTGCTTAAAGATGACGATTAAATCAGGCAGCGTTTGTGTTTCTATCTAGCCTTAAAGAAGGCGAGGACAAGAAGGAGATCACCATAGAACCGGCCCAGGCCCTTGATGAAGTAGAGCCCCTGCCTGAGGATTGTTACACCCGACCTGTCAGTTTACCTGAAGGTAAGACATGTCGGCACTAAGCGGCCCTCGATCAGCTTCTGATGGTTGCTGAGCAGACTGTCCGTGTGTTTACAGTGACCACGCTGCGCCAGAGGCTGCTGCAGCCAGACTTCCAACCTGCAGGAGCATCTCAGCTCCACCCCAGACACAAACACCTGTTGATGAAGCGCTCGCTGCGCTGCAGGGTGAGTACAGCTCTGTGTGCACATAGTGGGGGGGGGAAACTGATCTAATTTGTACCACATTGTTTCTCTTAATTACTTTTCTCAGAAATGCGAGCACAACCTGAGCAAACCGGAGTTTAATCCAACTTCAATCAAGTTTAAAATACAGCTGGTGGCTGTGTGAGTAGAATCATTGTGTTCAAAGTTTATGTCAGCCTCGGGTCTGATTGGGTTAATGTGGGAAACACTGAATGAGCAGCTGGAGATGCATGCTCAAGAATTATTGCATGTTTAGCTTCTGGAAATGAACAGATTTCATTTGTAAAAGTTCCGATTTAAACAGCCAGAAATAAATTTTATTGTTTTCATTTAGAGAATCGGTTTAATAATCAATATTTTGAGCAGTTCAGTGACTGAGGATTTGATTTATTAACACGATTTGGATGTCGGTTAATTTCTGGTTCTTCTGCTTCCCTCCAATAGGAGCTACATCCCTGAAGTAAGAATAATGTCCATCCCCAACCTCCGACACATGAAGGTCAGTCTCAGCCCTGCTTCTGTGTTTGGAAGTATACAGGGTTCCCACGGGTCCTTAAAAAGTCTTAAAAGGCATTGAATTCTTAAAAATTAAAACCAAGGCCTTAATTGGTATTAAAATGTCTGAAATCAGTCTTTTGTTGGTCTTAACTTTTAAAAAA